ATTCTTCGAGTATCTTTATGATCTCGGGTTTAGACACGATTCATGTTCATTCGACCTCTCTGCGACCGGTTCATCCCTGCGAGTGACTTCTCAGGGTGGATCAGGTTCAACTCTACTCGGTGTACGGCTTTGGTTTTATAACTGAGCTATCGCCGCCTGTTGAGCCTGCAGCATTTCGAAGATCACCCATAAACTGATCTCGTCCCCTCCAATGTTTTATGTATTTTGAGTTGCCAATCGGGCTCCACCACGGACGTTATTCTCAGGGTCAGTTGGCAAGTTTGCGTCGATAGCCACACGTGAATTAGCGTCAATTGGGTTTGTGACCGGAATTTCAATGGGATCGGCGGGCGGTACCTCGTTACCGAGTGCTACGTTCTTATTTTCACCGTGGTTTCTGGACTCATTGTCAACATGTAGGGGTGCTGATTGAGAGTTTGACATTTTGTGTTTTAACCTAAAATCAGAGACACTTCAAAGAGCAAGCGTAAAGTAGTGTGTGTTATGGAGATTTATATCAAATAACCACAATTATCCTTAGCCCCACCGTGGATGCCAAACTATTTTTCCTCAAAATCGGATAACAATTAAATTTGTATATGGTTTTAAGGATACGTGATCTAGCTTGATATAAAATAATAAATCAGATTGAAATTGAAATAAACAATGGGAAAGTAAATGCAAACAACACAAGTTGAATACTCTTAGCCTTAGAAGGTTAGCCTCCCTCGAGCCAAAAGTGCTTTTATCGATATCTGAATAGAATGATAAGATAATAATAAGAACTAAAAATAACAATATATTTCTTTGGGATGCGAGTTACAGTGTGTTCAATGAACTATTAGACCTCATTTATATAGTAGAGGAGTCCTACTTTAGATACAATTCGATAAAAGTCTCTTGATTTACTGATTGCCAGTTCCTTATTGATACGTGCCGAGATTCCCGACGCAATATCTAACCGGTCACTGATATTTTGCTCTTCTGTTAGTTATCTCAACAATGTGTCTCTGAGCTCATTCGAGGCTAAGGTCGACACCGGACTCACCGCTAGTCGAAGGCAAGCGTTCCGACCTCGGGTCCTAGCTCGGTGGGACTCGAGGTCGATCTTCATTCCTTGGTTTCCACATTCCAAACCTAATCTACCAAGTCGTAGGAGAGTTCGATTTCGAATTTCCCTGCCCGTGTCTACTTCTTGAAAACCTAAACGGGCAAGGTAAGTGTATCAAGAGAAAATGAGCAAAGCAAGGGGAGAGCTTATGCCCGGCTAATTGAATGGAGTTCCCGGCTTTAAAGAATCAAGTTCAAGTACCGAGGAGATTGATTTGAAGATCTTTGGTGAGGTATGCTAAGCAAGATAGCTCATTTCTTGGATAAGGGCTCTATATAGCCTTAGAATACCGTCTTCTGGTCCTCATGTGGATGATTCCCCATATGAGAAGTGAAAGGTTGGTTTATCAGTTTGAAGATCACTGCTGTGGGATCTAGCTGCTCCAGCTGCATTAACAATAGTCCTAATTGCAACTTAGATTGCACGATCAAGATCAAAGTGTCCGTCCGTTCGGTAAGTCAGCCAGTCGTCATCTTATCTTGCACGAGCATCGTCGTCCCTATCACTTCCTCATCCTCAACCTCTAGAGGAGTGGACGAGACTTCTTTGTCCTTCTTGTTTTGACTTTTGCTCTGACTTCTTCTCATCTAAGCATTTGCTTCGGCCTACAAAAGCTCGGACGAGCGGGTAATATCATAAACTCAAAGAAGACCAGGGTCAACCGACGTAGAAGAAAACACAAATAGAGATAGGTCAACTGATTAATAGGTATACTTGTCAAGCGACACAGACACGGGTACATAAGGAATCACATCATCACCTCTTTCTTGCTCTTTGGATTTATTAGCGTCAGCTGAGGCCTCTCTTTGATCATTTCTGTGTTTCGGTGCTTGCCCTTTCTTTTAAGAATAAAGATCTTCATCGATCTCCACTACGGTTGTCACTCCTACAGGATCGGGATATTATTTTTACATATTATGAGAAGGTCGTTGAAGTAGGATCGCTAGTGGGATAGTCCAGCGGTACTCCTTGCCTCTGTTAACACAATTAACCAACGGGGACCGACAGACAGTTTGCTTAGTAAAGTCTTTTATCTTCCATTCAGGGGTCATGAATGATTAATAGAAACAAAGGGTGAGTGCAACGAACTAGACCGTACCAAGGCCTGATATAAGGGTAAGCCAATAGCGAATAACATTTTCTTCCTTGCGTCATCGATCTTCATTGCCATCCTGTAGCCAAAGTGATAGCGGTTGTAGCATCCACGGGTAATGTGTGGAAGAGGGTAAGATTTCTATGTGGATATAACGTATCAACACATTTTGCATCTTTTCATTTTAAAGGAAATATAGTTGAATAATATAGTATTGGGTCTTGAGGACCGGGATGGCCGAAGATCAAAACCTAAATGTGCTAGGGGTTGATCATCGGAGCCTGGGCAATAACGATTAAGGAATTTGAGCGCTGATGTAGCTAAGATCCACCTTCATAGTCAATTCATTAGGGTTGTCACCTTCTACCCGGAAAAGTATTCACCGTTTTCTTTATCTGTTAAGCCTTACAGCTATGGGACTTCCTAAAGAAAACTGCAATCGCAGTTTATCAACCACTCACAAGACCACCGAGATCTTCGACTTTGCTCCCAAAGGTAATCCACTCGACCCTTTCCCAACCTATACAAGGAGAGCGAAAGATAACGAAAGGGAGACAAGGTCCTAACTAAATAGAACACAAACTCCCATTTCATCTATCATATCAGTCGAGTCGATCCGATTCGTTCTTATCTATAGATAACGCAAGAGAGAACTTATGACCTCGCGGATGGAGAGGGATTCGAACCCCCGGTATTTCTATAAATACTTCGGTTTTCAAGACCGACTCTTTCAACCGCTCAGACATCCATCCCCTTCGCGCTTCGCTCGCCCTATCCATCTGTGCGCTGGCAGGTAGGGACTTATCTATGTGATTTGCTACGCTTGCCTGCGCCTATCGGCCGATTCTATTGCTTGCCGGTTAGCGAAAATTTTTCGGTAGTACGAATCGCTACGCTTCGCCTCTTTCTATATGATAATATGCATCTTAGTTTATGCGCTCCCTGCGGGTAATAGCAAGAGAGTGAATAACGAATGATCCTCCAAACTAAAAGAGTGATTGAGTCCGACTCAAGCGAGTGAGTGGAAGGCGTGGCAAGAGAGCGAGTTCGACTCGCAAACGATCAGCAAGTGAAGGACCGATCCTTTTGCGCCAATACTGTTGCGAAACTGGTATTTGGCAGCTCACGAGCAACATATAGACTAAGCCTGCCCATCACTCCCTCACTCTTTTTAAAGGCTCTTTTAATTCTCTTTCTAGTATGGTTTCTCCATAAGAATACTGAACGCCCAGCTTCGCAGAAAAGCTCTCTCCCCAGCCCACAGCATAGTGCAGAATCTGGATCCTTTCATCGAGCACCATTTCTTTTAGATAGAAAGGTGTTCTGACTCTATTGGATCAAGTCATAACCTAAGCCTTCTACTAGTAGACTACTATGGAGAGACTAAGCTATATTTCAGAGATTGGACTCTCTTACTGTGATTAGCTCCTACTAGTAAGAAGTTGTTCCCGAGCCAGGTTTCCTGGATCCACATGTTCCTAGTCGGGCCTAAATGGATGAATGAAGAAGGGCGCCCGGGTAGACTTCAAGAGCTCTTGCTCTGCCTATCCTCCTACTTCTTATTCTAGGGGTCATAGAAAGATACAAACTGCCTACTCTTTAAAGCCCTACCATTAGATTGAATAAAATGAAAGTTGCTTGTCCTCACTAATAAAAAACAGTAATCCCTCCCCTTCTGTTACCTACTTTTACTCACTTCTTCGGTATACCTCAATACAAGATAAGCGCAGGAAAGGATAAACAATATAAATTGGACTATCGCCCTATCTAAGCAGCTTTCCCCTCTCCTCTACGGAAGTAATCTTTTAATCTATTTCAGTTCCTATGTCTGTCGCTACCGCCCTATTCTCTCTCAATTGCCTATCCTTTCTAGATGAGTGGGAGTCCCTTAGCAGTAGCTTCCAACACTTAAGATTGACCTCCTCAAGTGTCAAACATGAATGTTTTATGAATTTCATACGGGACTACTTACTTACCTAAAGTTCACTTTTGGCTTACCAAAAAAGTTGACTGAAGGAACTGACCTAAGCATAGCTCTCTCTCAAATACAAATGCCAAGAAAGGGATTCCTTGGATAAAGTTAAAAAAATGCTAAAAAAATCCTTTCATTTCTCTTTAAAAGCCTTTGTCCTACTTATAGTATCAGTCCTCTAGCCTATACTTGTGTTTTTATTAATCAAGAACACATGCACTTTGTTGGCACTAAAAAAAAAAGTTATTCAATTCACTAGTGCAACTGAAGGTGCGCAACCTCTTCTGAACCGGAACAAGAAAGAGCTCATAACCACTCCTTGTGAACAACTCTCCTCAACTTAAGGCGCACCTACTCTTACTAGAAGTCTAGTCTCTCTCAGGTCCAGCTTCGATCTCTAACTAACTAACTTACAATATAGGCCACGCCTTTATGTAATTAATATTTAGTATGGATCGATATATACATGTATACATTTTTTTAATAACTTTTAGTGCATAAATTTTGAAGAATTCACATAAAATATTCACGTAAAGTCCTTAAAGACACGAGTACTACGTGAATTAATTAGGTAATCCACTAGTTTAGAAATGTGTGTAGACATGAAACCATTTTCTGGAAAGTCAATAAAACTGGATGTTTAAATTTTTTTCATATCAGTTAGTCAAGCAAAGTTGTGATTTATTCATGGCTCTCCATTATCTCAAAAACTCAGTGGAACAGCGTTAACCAAAACATGGGGGAAAACTCAGATGAGTTTAGGCTATATAAACTCCTAGTTACATCATTCTCAAATACACAAAAAAGAAAAAAAAACAATCCAATCAGCCTTAGAACCCAAATCTTCTCAAAGGGAGCCAAATGAAGAGGCAATGCCATCAATTTGTTTGTGCTTTGGCATTTTTCTTGATTGCCACTTGCACTATGGCATATTCAACTGATTCTTATAAATCACCAGTTCCATCATATAATCAAGTACCAAGCCAAGTACCAGTGTCAAAAGACAATTACGAAGTGCCACAAGTGTCCAAGAACAATTACAAGGTACCCTCAGTACCTAAACAAGAATACAAGGCACCATCTTTGCCAAAGGATAACTACTACATGAAACCATCAATTCTGAAAGATAACAACAAGAATGTGCCATATGTTCCAAAAGATAATTATTACAAGGCACCCACAGTGCCTAAGTCCGAATACAAGGCGCCATCTTTGCCAAATGACTACTACAAGAAATCATCGGTTCCAGAATATAACTACAAGAAGATGCCATCTCTTCCAAAAGATAACTACTATAAGGCATCTTCAGTGCCTAAACAGAAATACAAGGTGCCATCATTGCCAAAGAATGACTACTACAAGAAACCATCAGTTCCAGAATATAACTACAAGAAGGTGCCATCTCTTCCAAAGAATAACTATTACAAGGTAGCCTCAGTGCCAAAACAGAAATACAATGCACTATCTTTGCCAAAGAATGACTACTATAAGAAATTATCAGTTCCAAAAGATAACTATTACAAGGCACCCTCAACGTCTAAACAAGAATACAAGATGCCATCTGTACCAAAGAATGAATACTACAAAATGCCATCTATTCCAAAGAATAACTACAAGGTGCCTTCTGTTCCAAAGGATAACTACTATAAGGTACCCTCAGTGCCGAAACCGGAATACCAGGTGCCAACTGTACCAAAGAATGATTACTATAAAAATCCATCAGCACCAAAGAATGACTATTATAAAGAGCCATCAGTTCCAAAACCTGACTATTACAAGGTACCCTCAATCCCTAAACCAGAATACAAAGTGTCATCTTTACCAAAAAATGAGTACTACAAGAAACCTTCACCTTCTCTTCCACCGCTATACTACTATAATTCACCCTCTCCCCCCTCACCATCACCACCACCTCCTTACTCTTATCAATCATCTTCAACTCCTTCTCCATCACCACCTCCTCCATATTATTAAATTCTCATCTTTCATGTTCAACATGTTTCGAGAAGGCCATTTTCCCACACAACATAATCTTAAGGGTCTTGAGTTGAAGGCATGATACAGAAATTTGTATTTATTCATTATCTGTATTTTATTTATATTTTTATGGGGTTGGTTGCAGCTCATGTTTTTCCATTTTATTGTATGTCTCACTATTGAATTCTGAGAATATTTGTTCAAATTAATGCAAATTCTTTTTATCTAGAATTTATGTACTACTTATCAGTCTGACATTTGCCTATTCCTTAATAAAATTGCACGATTTGGAACAAAATGGTTAATTTAACTCTCCTTTCTCGCAATTCACTTGCGTTAATTCAGATTTTGATCAGCTCTATTCAGGGTCGGATTTATAGGTTTGTTAATGGGGCACGTGAACCCATAGTTAATCCACCAATCTAGGTATTTTATGTATGTATTTTTTAGAATTAGTCTAATATTATTTGTTGACACTCACGCTCTACAAAGGTTGAATGGTGCATTTGGTTGAATATTGAGTTATTTACCCAAAAGAACAGAGATCAATTCTCACTTAATATTTTTTTTCTCCTTTTTTTAGTAATGCACCGTATTCTTAAAATCCTAGATCCGCCTCCGGTTCTATTCACAATATTTAAGCCTATTGACTGCACTTAGTTATGGAACAACATTAGCTTGAAGTATATCTAGATTTGGCAAGGAGACCAATGGTTGCTCACTTGGTACTACGACTAAAAATAATCAATCCTACGAGGAGACTAACATAATTATACTAACTTATATTTGCAACAATATCAATAATCTTTTATCTCATAACAAAAAGGTAATGGTGATATTGTACCTAGAGACAGATTCAGTATTCATCACTGGCGAAACTAGGAATTTTCCCAAGGGTATTCAAATTTGAAAGAAGTGAAAAAAAATTCCCAACAAAGGGTGTTCAATATGTGTTATATACCTCTAAAACGTAATATTTTAGCTATATACACAGTGTAATTTTTTGACCTAGTGACCATGTGGCTTCGCCACTGATGTTCGTTATCGGATTCATTCGAACATAGTACTTTTGATGCGGGGTGTCGATTTTTATGTGAAATCTTAAAAAATTTCTAATAAATATTAAATACTCCTAGCTAAGAAATTATAATTTTATTAGTAAAATGAATTTAGCTAAAAACCTCAAAAATCAAATTCATAAAAATAAAACTTCATGTCTTAAATGAGATTGTGATTTTTATATGTCTAGATCTTATGGTAATCCATAAGCAATTATCCATTAATTATAAGTTACCATATATTAGCTAAGTCTTGTCCCTCTACATTTTTTGACTTGCCTCGCCACAAAAACTAGCTCAGCCATGCAGAGAAAGTCCAAACATTATATGGTCTTTTATCAAAGTACCGTATCATTTTCGTTTTGTTTATTCAAGGTTCAAATTTGAGACGTCTAGTTAAACGTCGAGGATCTCATTCATCCCACCATATCGTTCTTATTTCTTCACGATAAAATCATAGCCCTGTGATGTGAATTATAAGTCGTGCTTAAGGTATCTGCAGCATCAAGTACATATAATGGACACAATATTCCAACTCAATTGATTCTGACATCAAATAATGAACATTTGTTAGGCAGATACATACATATTCGATACGCTTTTGTGTAAATATCTAATATAGATCGATACATGTATACATTTTTATCAACTTTTAATGTATAAATTTTGAAGAATTCACATAAAATATTCACGTTAGACCTATTAGACACGAGTACTACGTGAATTAATTAGGTAATCCAGTAGTGGACTCTTTCACAAAACTGATAACTAAGTTGCGCTTTTTGAAGCGCTTTTTATTATATCTTTTCCCTTTCCAATTTGTTAAGAGAATTAAACACTAACTGAAAAATTGTACCAGAAATGTAATAAGGAATTGTTATTCCAGCTTGATTGCCACTAGTTTAGAAATGTATGTAGACATGAAACCATTTTCTGGAAAGTCAATAAAACTTTGAATTTTTAATTTTTTTCATATCAGTTAGTCAAGCAAAGTTGTGATTTGTTCATGGCTCTCCATTATCTCAACAACTTAGTGGAACAGCATTAACCAAAACATGGGTAAAAACTCGGATGAGTTTGGATTATTTTAAGCATCCAAATCATCTAGTCACTTTCTTAGTTTAGGACTTTAGGCTATATAAATTCCTAGTTACACCATTCTCAAATACACAAAAAAGAAAAACAACAATCCAATCAGCCTTAGAACCTAAATCTTCTCAATGGGGAGCCAAATGAAGAAGCAATGGCATCAATTAGCTTGTGCTTTAGCATTTTTCTTTATTGCAACTTGCACTATGGCATATTCACCCGATTCTTATAAATCACCAGTTCCGTCATATAATCAAGTACCAGTGTCAAAAGACAATTACGAAGTGCCACAAGTATCGAAGAACAATTACAAGGTACCCTCAGTGCCTAAACAAGAATACAAGGCACCATCTTTGCCAAAGGATAACTACTACACGAAGCCATCGGTTCCAAAAGATAACTACAAGAAGGTGCCATCTGTTCCGAAAGATAATTACTACAAGGCACCTACAATGCCTAAGCCGGAGTACAACGCGCCATCTTTGCCAAAGAATGACTACTACAAGAAACCATATGTTCCAGAATATAACTACAAGAAGGTGCCATCTCTTCCAAAAGATAACTACTACAAAGTACCTTCAGTGCCTAAACAGGAATACAAGGCGCCATCTTTGCCAAAGAACGACTACTACAAGAAACCATCAGTTCCAAAAGATAACTATTACAAGGCACCCTCAACGCCTAAACAGGAATACAAGGTGCCATCTGTACCCGGGAATGAATACTACAAAAAGCCATCAGTGCCAAAGAATAACTACAAGGTGCCTTCTATTCTAAAGGATAACTACTATAAGGTACCCTCAGTGCCTAAACCGGAATACCAGGTGCCGTCTGTACCAAAGAATGTCTATTACAAAAAGCCATCAGCTCCAAAGAATAACTACAAGGTGCCTTCTGTTCCAAAGGATAACTACTATAAGGCACCCTCGGTGCCTAAATCGGAATACCAGATTCCATCTGTACCAAAGAATGACTACTACAAAAAGCCATCAGTTCCAAAGAATGACTACTATAAAAAGCCATCAGTTTCAAAAACTGACTATTACAAGGTACCCTCAATGCCTAAACAAGAATACAAAGTGCCATCTTTACCGAAGAATGACTACTACAAGAAACCTTCAGCTTCACCTCCACCGCCATACTACTATAATTCACCCCCTCCCCCTTCACCATCACCACCACCTCCTTACTCTTATCAATCATCTTCAACTCCTTCTCCATCACCACCTCCTCCATATTATTAAACTTCAAACACAACATAATCTCAAGGGTCTTGAGTTGAAGGCATGATATCAAAGAATTTAATTCTTAATTTGTTGTTTCTTTCTTTTCCTTATTCGGTTGGCAATTGTTTTGTCATTTAAATTGTATCTTGAATGTTTCCAGAGAATTATTTCAGTTGAATACAAGTTCCTTTTATTGATCTAGTTTATGTATTTTCACCTATTCTTCCAGCAATCCCCAATTTCTTCACATAAATTTATTGATCAAATCCATAGCATATAGTCAAATCTCACTTTATTCACCCCAAAATAATAATTCATTAAGTTATAAGAATGAAATAATATTTCATAAGTTATAAGAATGCAATAGTATTTCAGTTTTCCGCAAAATATTACTCTTTCCGGTTTCCACTATAATTAGGGCCAACGTACGTAGAAAGGGAGAAATTCAAAAATAGCCAGATTTATAAATGGTCGTTGAAAAATAGTCACAGTTTCAAAAGTAATCGAATTTAGCCACTTTTCATATAAAGATATATCTGAACGAAAATACTGTTCAAAATCCGAAAAATATTCCAGCATAATATACTGGAACTCCAGTATAATATACTGGAGTTCAAGTATAATATAATGGACTTCCAGCATAATATACTGGAGTTCCAGTATAATATACCGGTCTAGCATAATATGCTGGAAGTTCATACACAGGTACTCCAATCTTCAGTATATTATGCTGGAACTTTTCGCGTGTTAGAGTTCCAGCATAATATGCTGGAAGTTCATATACATGTACACCAATCTCCAGTATATTATGCTGGAACTTTCCGTGTTGCAGCAAAATAGTGGCTATTTTCAATGACTTTGCAAACACTTGCTATTTTTTAATTAACAGTCCGAAAACTGGTTAGCCTGTGTTATTTTTACCTGTAGAAAAGCTCTATCGAATAGCAAAAAAATTTAGATAAAAAGAATGAATTTAATTTTTTAGATACTCAATAACCACTTAATTTTTGAAATACTCGATTGCTTGAATATACTTTAATTTCTTCCTGGTTTTGGATTTTGTATGGTCGGATTCTTTTTCAATTGGGTCGGGTATCCATTAGATTGAAGAAAAAAAATTGGTTAAAATGTCGTATGTGTTGATGTGAGAGTTTAAATTAGTAACAATTATTTTAGTGCATCAGAAGGGTTGGGTTTCTGAATATTGTGATTAGTTTTTGTTTCAAGAGTCTTGTGATTTTTATGTGACAAAACAAAGTTTTGTGACTTTAATAGGGAAAAAATAATGTGACGTTTATTACATCTACCTTCATCTGCTTCCTTTTACTAATTCAGTATACTAAAAAAAGACCAGGTCAGTTAAGTAGAGAAAGTTCTAACTCTATCTTTCATGGCTTTCTAAATATAAATGTATGACATTAGAATTAGAATATCATTGGACTAAATCCAAAATAATACAATATAATATTATTTTTTGTATAACCATCTATATTTGATACCTATTTGCCCGACTAATTTAGATTCGCATAGAGCCCACAAAAGAGAAAAACATTTCCTATCAGGAATTTTTTACTCCTAAAGCTTAAATCCATATCCTCTAATTAAAAATAAAGGGATCATATTCATTCTAGTGTATCTTTTAGTGGTGTATCGTATATTCTTATTTCTTACAGCATCAAGTTCATATATGATGGACCCAACCTTCCAACTTTGATGCTTACATGATAGACAGAGGCCGATCCAGGATTAAATTTAATGGGTTCAGTTATTAAAATCTTTAGTATTAAACTCATTGTACTATTAAAATTATGGGTTCAAATCTAATAATTATTGAGATTTTAGTAGGTGTTTACATATAAATTCATATTATGTATCAGAAGTTATGAGAATAAACTTTTTAATACTAAAATAATTAGCGCTAAGAAGTCGTAAGGTATTACAAAAGCTTAATTAGAATGAACTGAAATGTATTATAAGCTCGGGAAAATATAGAAAAACAAAACAGTTTCTCTATTTTCCTTTATTGCCACTAGTTTAGAAATGTATGTAGACATGGAAACATTTTTTTTAAATTCAATAAATTCTGGATCTTATTTTAAATTTAAGTCAGTCAAGCAAAGTTGTGACTTATTCATGGCTCTCCATTATCTCAAGACCTTAGTGGAACAACATTAACAAAAAAATGGATAAATCTCATATGAGTTTGGATTATTATACTCATCCAGATTATCAAGTCACCTTCTTAGTTTAGGCTATATAAACTCATAGTTACACACAAAAAAGAAACAAACTAACAATCCAATCAGCCTTAGAACCCAAATCCTCTCAATGGGGAGCCAAATGAAGAAGCAATGCCATCAATTTGTTTGTGCTTTGGCATTTTTCTTGATTGCCACTTCCACTATGGCATATTCAGCTGATTCTTATAAATCACCAGTTCCATCATATAATCAAGTACCAAGCCAAGTACCAGTGTCAAAAGGCAATTACGAAGTGCCACAAGTGTCCAAGAACGATTACAAGGTACCCTCAGTGTCTAAACAAGAATACAAAGCACCATCTTTGCCAAAGGATAACTACTACATGAAGCCATCAGTTCCAAAAGATAACTACAAGAAAGTGTCATCTGTTCCAAAAGATAATTACTACAAGGCACCCATAGTGCCTAAACCGGAATATAAGGCGCCATCTTTGCCAAAGAATGACTACTACAAAAAACCATTTGTTCCGGAATATAACTACAAGAAGATACCATCTCTTCCCAAAAATAACTACTATAAGGCACCTTCGGTGCCTAAACAGGATTACAAGGTGCCATCATTGCCAAAGACTACTACAAGAAACCATCAGTTCCAAAAGATACGTACAAGAAGGTGTCATCTCTTCCAAAAGATAACTATTACAAGGCACCATCAACGCCTAAACCGGAATATAAGATGCCATCAGTACCAAAGAGTGACTACTACAAAAAGCCATTAGTTCCAAAAGATAATTACAATGTGCCATCTGTTCCAAAGGATAACTACTACAAGGTACCCTCAGTGTCTAAACAAGAATACAAGGCACCATCTTTGCCAAAAAATGATTACTCCAAAAAGACATCAGTTCCAAAAGATAACTACAAGGTGCCATCTCTTCCAAAGGATAACTACTACAAGGTACTTTCAGTGCCTAAACCGGAATACAAGGTGCCCTCTTTGCCAAAAAATGACTACTACAAGAAACCTTCAACTCCAAAAGATAACTATAAGGTGCCATTTGTTCCAAAAGATAATTACTACAAGGTACCCTCAGTGCCTAAACCGGAATACAACGTGCCCTCTTTGCCAAAGAATGACTACTACAAGAAACCTTCACCGTCTCCTCCACCACCGTATTACTATAATTCTCCCCCTCCTCCTTCACCATCACCGCCATCTCCATACTATTATCAATCATCTTCAACCCCTTCTCCACCACCACCTCCTCCATATTATTAAAGCTTCATCTTTCATGTTCATCATGTTTTCAGATAGCCATTCTCCAACATAACATAATCTTAAGGGATATCTCTATTGAGTTTAAGGCATGATATCAAAATTTGTAATTCTTTATTTGTTGTTTTCCTTAATCCTTTTATTATTGCAATTGTTTTGTCATTTAAGTTGTCCTTTGAATGTTTCCACAGAATTGTTTGATAAATTGATCACAATTCACAAGTTCTTTTATTGAAAGTGAAAGTTCATGTACTAGTACATCATATCATATATCAGTCCAATAATTTTCATTTCACTGTCTGATCTTTATTACCTTTTCTTTCTTTTTTTTGAAAATTAGTAGGTTAACAATTTTTCTTTTTCATCTTTGTATCTTTGCTGGCACTTTTAAGCTTTAGGCCTGCAAAGTCCATTAGCCAATAAAATTTTATAAGAAAAATGAAATTGTATAGTCACTCTAAAAATAATAGCCGAAAAAGTGTATAATTT